TCATAATGTTCCATTACAGTGATATGTCTTATGGTAAATTGGTACTTGTGATAGAGATTGTTAAAAATCCTGTTCAGCGTGTTGATCTAGTTCAAAGTAGGGTTCATAATCATATCAGACCAACATGTTCTCGTCTAGATATGCATGTAATATTTTCCCATGGACATTGGACACTAATGCACAATGATGAATCTATCCACCCATTATAATATATTAGTATTTACAATTATTGTAGTAATTAAACCATTTTCTAAAACATCGTTCATGACCGAGAGATGAAATCATTCCTCGGTAAAGGACCTAACAATCGTCCCCCGTCAATTATTAATTGGAATGAGTGTCGTAACATCATCCACGACTCACTCCGTACTTACTGTTCGAAATGGATAAAACGATAAAAAGCCGACAAAAAATCCTTAGATTCTTTAATTCAGTAAGGAACATAGTTAATATTCGTATTAAACATTTCAAAGAACATTTTACTCCTAACAACAACCATAATAGCCCTATTTCTCGAATCAAACATAAGCTAAAAGAACTCGTCAAGGAATTTGATTTTGTCCCGGCTGATAAGGCTGATAATAAGGTCTTCTTTTACTTGAGTGGTCCCAACCCATATATAGCTATACTAAACTATCCTTAACCCTAAAACTTACCATAATCCATGCCTAAAACTAACACTAGCTCTAACCCTAAAACCTAACCCTAACCTAGAAAATCCCCTAACCTAACCATAACCATGAATGAACCCTAACTCTAAATTATGGGGATCCTTAAAGTTAAAGAAGGCCGCTAATAATATCATTATTGTTTGACGTCAATTTTACATTGAGGTTCTGCAAAAGGAAATCACGACTTCACCAACATTCCAACTGACTCTATTTTCGGAAAATGACATCTGTAACAAACATAAACTTTTAGCTATCTCTTTACAAGCAGAACCAAATACAATGAAAGTTCCAACCATGTACTGGCTTCCGAAGCTGCACAAAACACATTACAAATATAGATTTATTTCGTCTTCAAGCCATTGTTCCACTACTAAACTGTCTATTCTACTTACAAGTACACTTGGTACAATCAAAAACCTGGTAATAAATTGTTCAATTAAGGCCTTTGAAAATAGTGGAATTGATTACTTTTGGAGTGTCAAAAATTCGTTGGAAGTACTTGATAAATTGCATGCTTTTATTGGTGATTTCGAATCTGTTCAAAGTTTTGATTTTTCTACCCTATATACCACTTTGCCTCATAATCTAATTAAGAAAAAATTCGCACATTCAAAAAGTCAAAATGCGAATATATATGTTCAAACTCTTTTAGGTCATTTTTTAGTAACAACAAACAAAAGAACTATGTCAATTGGACCTGCTTTGATACAATAATTACCCTTGAATTTTTACTAGATAATATTTTTCTTCGCTATGGAGATTCCGTATATCGTCAAGTTTTCGGAATTCCAATGGGGAAGAACTGTGCACCACTTATTGCGGACCTGTTTCTGTATTGTTATAAGTTACAGTTTATGATTAAATTCAGCAAAGACCCATCGAAACAACATCTGATACAAAAATTTAATAACACTTTTAGATATTTGGATGATATATTGGCTCTCAATAATGACGACTTCAGTATGTACACTTAAGAGATTTATCCTGCTGAACTGACTTTAAATAAAGCTAAAACTAACAATGAACACTGCCCTTTCCTGGATCTTGATATCTATATCTTTAACGGGAAGCTTAATACCAAAATTTACGATAAAAAAGATGATTTTTCTTTTCCTACTGTTAATTAACCATTTTTAGATGGTGACGTTCCCTTGTCACCATTTTTAGATGGTGACGTTCCCTTGTCACCATCTTATGGTGTTTATATATCTCAGCTTGTTCGATTCGCTCGTGTATGTAACAACGTATTTGATTTTAACGAAAGAAATCTCTGTATTACTGAAAAATTATAACACCAGGGTTTTCGATATCACAAACTAGTCAAAACATTAATTTTACTAAATTTTATCATCGGTACAAGGACATCATTCGTAAATATAAATCAACGTGCAGATATCTTATACGTTCAGGTATTTCACATCCAATCTTTTATGGTAATATTCTATGCAAAACACAAAAATGTCGGCATTCAACTCAAAAGCTAACCAAACCTTTAAACAGACTTATTCAGAAGGGATATAGTTACGATACTGTTGTCAGGTCATTAAAGATGGCATATTTTGGTATTAATATTGATTCACTCATAGGGTCTTTGCATCGGAAATAAACATATTTATTCTAAAACCAGTTGTTGGCATGATACGGGTTATGTCCCTTCTCATATATTTTATGATGGTATGATACTAAACCCCTAACGTGAGGGATTGTGCTTCATTTTCATATGATGAAGATATAATCTTTCAATCAGTTTAATTGAGGTCTGGAGCTGGCATGTCAGTAACTGCTAGTGGTCCTTTGTTAATTTATGTACCATTGCCATTTTGCTTAGTTTCTTTTGTTTCCTTTTCTGACATCGGACTCGGACTTCTTTTAAACTGAGTTTTACTGTGCGTATTGCTGTGTGTTTGTTTATTCTACATTGGCTAGAGGTATAGAGGGAGGGTTGAGATCTCACAAAACATGTTTAACCCCGCCGCATTTTTGCGCCTGTCCAAAGTCAGGAGCCTCTGGCCTTTGTTAGTCTTGTATGTTTTTTTAATTTTAGTTCATTTATATGTTTTGGAGTTTAGTGTGACGTCCATTTTCACTGAACTAGTACACATTTTTGTTTAGGGGCCAGTTGAAGCCCGCCTCCGGGTGCGGGATTTTCTCGGTGTGTTGAAGACCCATTGGTGGCCTTGTGCTGTTTTCCTCTCTTTGGTCGGGTTGTTGTCTCTTTGACATATTCCCTATTTCCATTCTCAATTTTATTTGTCTATAGAGTGTCTATATGCTATATCGTCCTGAACATGCATGAAATATTCGCCACTGTACGGTAAGCAACCAACAATCATTTTTATGCCATTTTTGTTTTTTCTTTGTTGACATAGTTGTTTGTTTTTATGGTTATTAAGATTATAACAGAATGTTGACTGCTGTACCCCAATTTTTGACGTTTTTACCTATTACGTCTGTTTGTTTTGCTCACACATTGTTGTCAATATAAAGGAATTCTATGCGACTGTCCTATGCATACAAATGAGAAGTTTAGTTAGTATAAAACCAAGTTTATCCACCATTTTCTACATACGGAAATGCCTGTACCAAGTTTGGAGTATGACAGTTGTTTTCGATTCGTTTGATGTGTTAATGCTTTTGATTTTGACATTTGATAAAGGACTTTCCGTTTTTAATTTTCCTTGGAGTTCGGTATTTTTGTTATTTCACTTGATACATTAATTGCTAATTGTCGAATACTTGATTATTCCTACAAAAAATAATAATTGTTCCGCGATTGGGAACTATAAATCGAAAATTCATGTATTGGTATAACGCTTTAGTATGTGAGCACGGAAATCGGCCGCTGTGATGAACTTTCACATTAATCGCCAATTAACCTACTGCTTACCGATTACTAAAATATATTTGTAGACATAAAGGCTCTATAAGGAAATTTTCTCAGAAACAACAAATCAGAACACCATGAAATAAGGTGTAATTTTCAAAGTAATGTCCATAAACTTTCTTTTTTCTTTTTGAACTTCTTGGTTTAAATATGCCTTCTTCCTTTCAATATTAAGCCTTTTTGTTTCTTTTTTTTCACTCTCTTCCACCTTAGAATTGACGTGAACAGATGTGATTTCCGTTGTGGGGTTTCGAGGGCCTGGAATGCTTCATGAAATTTATCGTCAGATTTCTACATTTTTACTCACATGTCCATCCGCATGTGAAAAACGTAGGAAACGATATATAGCGAGGCCTTAATAAAAGGTATAAAATAAATTTGTGGAAAAATTTCAATGTGCTACAACAATAAAAATCAGAGAGACATACACGGGATTTAGCATGGTCTTTAACAATAAACAAGTGTCTATACCAAAAATACTTATGCTAAGTCTTTATATAACGAGTTACTATGTCGTAATAATGAGTTAGGTAAGTTGTGATAACGGGTTAGCTAAGTCGAGATTACGAGTTTGCTAAGTAGTACCAGATCAAAGACCTCTAATCTCAAAAATTTATCTCAGATACCGTCTCAATTCGGATTTCTTATGTATACATTGTCAATGACGTTCAAAGTCAGATATCAAAAATTGTCTATTTGGCCGAGAGATTAAGGGCATACGATACAGTTTTGATCACACGGTGATTATTTTACGAAAATTTGCATACAAGCTATTTTTCACTTAGTTAATTCAAATATGTAATAAAAAATAAACCTTCATCTGCTAAATTTAGAGATAAATGGGGTCGAAATTTTAGACATTTACTTAAAATTTCAGTTTCTTGGACATTTCTATCCTTTGGACAGACATAACTTTTTTGTTTTAAAAGATAAACACATGCGGATTTTTGTAAAAAGATTTGGAATATCTGCGTTACAAAAGTATGCTCTTAATTTGTGTAACAATTCTTTGAAAATAATTCATTTTTATTAAAATTTCATGATTTAAGTAAAAAACTGCATTTTTTGCTGCATATTTATCTAATTTAAAAAAAATTCATCGGTGATTTTTTTCATAAAAATTGGTACAAATAATCTTCATACAGTATCAAGTCAAATGTCTTTTTAAAAAGAGGGGTCCAAGTACTCGTTTTCAAGCTAATGATTAAAATCACTAGAAAAATGCATCTTTTCCCGATATGTCGCCGTTTGACGTCGCGAAAAATAACATACTATTATTAATTAACTACTCTCTAATTGGACTTAATATGATGATAACTGTCTATGCAATACAAAAGTATCAACTCGGCCAATACAGAATAACTCGGCCAATATAGATTTTTTCTGTATTGGCCGAGTTCCGATCCGGCCAATACAGGACTTCGGAACTTCTCTGGTTTTTAGTTAGAAATTCACGATGAAGGCAAAGATATGTAAACAGTCGTCTGCAAGACACTGTCGTTCTTTCTACACACCAAAAACATGCCTAAACGCAAAAAAATAACAAACGGAGAGGAAATAATGGACGCATTGGTGGAAGATATCTTCCGCTATGAAGAATTGGCCGAACTTGAGGCGGAGACAATTAGAAACAATGTGACAGGCGTCGCAAACTCTGTACGTTATGAGGAACTAGAAGTTGAAGTTGAACAACCAACCATGCCACAGACTAACATGACTGCCCAATTATTACGGGATGATGATCATGACGACGATAACAAAGAAAATGATGAGGAGAGTGTAGGTAGATTCAAAATATAAACCGATGAAGAGACTGATCAATTTCTGGACATTAATAAGAACAAAAACACTGGATCAAAGACCAAAAGCGATGTTAAAATTGTGAGAGACTTCTTCATATCAGTTGGTGAAATGAGGGACCCAACAGAAATTCTCCCTTAAGATCTGGACAGTCTGTTAGCAAGATTCTTTTTGGGAGTCAGAAAGAGAGACTTGTCAGAATATGAACCAGACAGTCTACATGGGATTCATAATAGCTTGGATAGATACTTCAGGGATATGAAACTTACTATAAGGTACATTTATTGATTTATCTAAATCTTATATATCAACAGAAGCTGCCAATCCTGAGCTACTAAGTTTTTATTTATGAAGTTCAATAATTGCATTAATGCACAGTCAGAATACCCCCCACCCCTTTTTTCCATTTAGGCCCCTGTAAAAGTGTATTTTAATAAAAACGGTTGAACAAATTACAAAATATGTATGAACAAAGTTTTAAAATAATGTTTTTTAGTGAAAACACACGTACGAATGGATTTTTGATTTGCCTTATATTAAATCTGAATTTTGAAATTTAATACATTTAATGTGTTTTAAGATAACCTAATGTTCAACACTTTATATTTCAGTATAAAAAAAGATCCAGAGTTTGCCCACTCAAGACGAGTACTGGAGACAAAAAAGAAATCCCTGAAATCCATGGGAAAAGGCAATAAACCAAATAAAGCTGAATCCTTGACAGGAGAAGAAATTGGCATCCTAAGGGGAAAAGGAATTATTGGTACACGTATGTATTACCTTTTTTTCATAAATTTATCTCACTTTTCCCAAAAAAAAAAACCACACAAGCTATTACATTTGTTTGATACATTTGTCTGTCGGTTTTGTTTACTAACATCTAGTAAAAAATAATCTCAACCTAATATGGGAGAAAAAAGGCACATTGCGTGTATATAGGTAAATTGTAGAAAATATTTCACAAATTACATGTAAAAAAATACAGTTTAATGTTGCTGTTGTAACAAAAAAAAATAAAATGAAATTTACAAGAAAATACTTATTATTTACTATTTTATATTGTGCATTTAAATTGATATAGAATAATGATGTATAGTTCAAAGATGTGTTCTACTTTTTTTATCTAGAAAATCCAGAAGCACTACTAAATGCAATTTGGTTGAACAATGGTGCATATTTTGGTCTGAGAGGTAGACAGGATCATGTCAATATGTTGTGGGGAGATGTCCTACTAAAAAAAAACATCCAGTGGAAAGGAATATTTAGAATTCAATGGTATGTATCATATGCTACTGACATTTTTGGTGATATTTTTGTTTGCTACATGAAGTTCTTATTAAAAAATTAAAAAATATATTCTGATGAAAAAGCCAATTTGCATGCACATTTAGATATTCTGCTGTTACAAACATGACCGAAAATGCTGACAAACTCTGACTCAGTTATCATTAATTGCTTGCATGTACTAGTATGAATGTGTACCAGCTTCAATGTTCCAAAACTACAATCTTGACCCAATATCAGATGTTTTTAAAGAACCAAAATCGTATCAACCTGGAGAAATGACAAGATAATGTTTTGAATAGAAAAGAACCAATATTGGTTCATTTGTCCCTAAAACCTATTGCAAATAAACTTACAATTTTATTTTTTTAGAACGTAGCACTAAAACAAGAAAAGAACCAATATTGACAGAAGCCACCGGCCGAGGTCAATATTGGTTCATTTGTCCATAAAACCTATTGCAAATAAACTAACAATTTTATTTTATTTCAGAACGTAGCACGAAAACAAGAAGTGGGGAAAAAGTTGGAGATTACAGACCTGTTCAGCCCAAAGTGTTTGAAGAACTACATGCAGGAGAAAAATGTCCCATACATATTTATAAAGAGTACAGGCGTCATAGGCCTACGGTAGATCCAGATTCTAGATTTTACTTAAGGCCATTAGTGGAACCAAAAACAAATGTCTGGTTTTCCAAACAATGTGTAGGAAAAGACAAGTTAGGTCGTATTATGAAAAACATGGCTGAAAAGGGAGAACTGCAAGGACGTAAGGTCAATCACTCAGGCCGTAAAACTTTCGCAACTACTTTACTGCAAAGTGGTAAGCCAGTAACAGAGGTTGCACAGTTGGGAGGTTGGAAAAACATTGGGTCGTTAAATCATTATTCTGTTCCGTCTGTTAAACAACAGGAAGAAGCATCACATACTATTTCTAGTGTAATGATACCGGAATCATCTGAACATCATGACAGTTCTGACATATCTGATGGACAAATTGGTGAAATTATTAATGTAAATCAACCGTGCAGTATTGTTCCTATAGTTGGACCAAGTTCATGTGTAGCACAAATGACCAATTTGTCTAGTAATCAAATGCAGTCAGAAAAACAAGACAATCCATTGTCACTGTTTTGTGGGGCCGTAATTAGTGGTGGTACCATCAATATTAATATTGTCTCTAGCAGCAATGAGAAAAAGAAAACATGTACCAGCACAGTTTCAAGTGAAATTGTTTCATCTCAAGAATAACTGCATACAAATAATAGACTAGTTTTATTGTTCCTGGAAAAAAAACTTGAAAAAAAATTCTTACTATTCAGATGTTAATTTTTATTATTATTAAATGTTGAACAATTTAAATATTTCTGTATTTTGTCCCATTACTAGTAGTAAATTAATAAAGATATCATTACGTGGTTATTTCTGTATTGGCCTTGTTATTGGTCCTCGGCCAGCTGTATTGGCCTTCGGCTTCGCCTCAGGCCAATACAGCAAGCCTCGGACCAATAACAAGGCCAATACAGAAATAACCACGTAATAGTATCATAGTATTACGTTAGCAGCGTCATTACCTCTCCTGTAACTGTATCGTATGCCCTTAACGCAATTTAAGATTTCGCATGTTTTGTCAATGCCTAACGTTTTACCTAAAACCAATAAATACAAAAACCAAAACTTAATAGTTTTGTAATGTTTTTTTTTTCAAATGTAAAATTTCTCAGGACTACTTGATTTCTGGTGTTATTGAATTTTCAGCTTTTAATGCAAATATGAAGTGAGCATTTTAGACTTTGTTAAGTAAATAAATGATAATGATATAGTTTCGGAACAATATTTTACTTTGGCAATATATGTGAAAGTTGCTCTGTAATATATCGTTTTCATCCATTTAATCGGTAGTCATAAGCTCATGAATTTATTCTATACAAATTAATCAAACAAAGACGAATGATATTAAATGTGTCATGTCGTATCAGAACTCTAAATTGTTGTTATCTGTAGGTCGAACTACTTTACAAAGTTATTGAGAAATTTCAGATTTATATTTCGTTTGTCACGCATTGACACTATTAATAAACTGTGCATATAGACAACAAACGACCTTGGGAATTAGATACTACACGTTGCTACAATGAACTTCAATTTCCAATTTATTCTATCATTCTGTGTTCTAACAATATCATGTGTTGTTGGAGAAAGAGAAGAAAAGCGTCTCCTATTGAATGACCCGGATGTTATCCAGGATCGTTTGACTAGGATGGAGAATTTGTTAGCAATCCTTAACAATACGATGAAACAACAAGCTCTTGCCATCAACTATCTTTTGTCTGTCACAGGTAACAAAATTATAATTTTTTTCACACAATAAAATATTTAAGATCTTATTTTCAGATTATTTTGTTTCCTATTCTAGTAAAGAATAACTTAGTTGCTGATTACATGCCCTTTACCAAAAAATATTTTGTTTAATAGGGTCATACTTAATGAAATAGAAATTTACCTAAATAATTTTCACAGTGATATCAATGTAACCTTGGCTAGCAATCACCCAGTACAATGTTAATCATCAAGGAACTATAAGGACCACTCAGGCAATGTTAATAGTATTAACATTAGCTTCACAAGGAGAAATATGTAGAAATAATGATCTGTTGTACAAACCTCGTAATACTGTTGAAAAAAATTGAACATGCATTTATTTATATAACAAGATTTCTCTAATTATTAGCCGAATGATACAATCCCAAACTGGTTGATGATGGGTTTATTTTATTTACACTCGATGCAGTGGTGAAATCAATTTTTTTTTATATTTTCAATCACATAAGATCGCATGTGCAAAACACTGCAACGCCATCTTAAACTCCATTCGGACAAGTCCTAAACAGAAACTATTCCTTTATGAGGGTATGAACGGGGGTTTACAGAATAGAGAATAATAGGCAAAAAATATAAAGAATAGAGAAAAATGGACCAAAAAATAAAAAATAGAGAATTATGAGGTGCAAAAATATAAAGAATAGAGAATAATGGGCAAAAAGTATAAAGAAGAGAGAAAAATGGCCTAAAAATGAAAGAATACAGAAATGAAGGACCCCATCCAGACACTCCTTTATGGGCAATCTGTCTTGGATATTACTATAGTATTAAATAATGGGTGTTTTTATATTGGCCCTGTTATATTTATGTCCAAGGTCTGTTATAATGGTCAAGGATGCCTGCAATGGCACGAGGCAACACCGAGGGACATGACATCCTCCGAGGCCATTATTACTGACCGAGGACAATTAACAGGGTCAATTTCAAAACACCCATTTCTTTACACTTTTATTAACCAACCCGTCAATGTGTGATATTTAACCAAGCCAAATCAGTTTTTTGTGGAGAAATTGTATATATATATATATATAATTATACCAAATGCAATATTAAAAAGAAACTTTTAAAGTGATGTGATGGAATAACATGTAAATGTAAATATAGTTTTATTGTTGTCCTATTCAAAGCAATTTATGGCATACAAAATACAAGATTTCATTCTGGATTTTAAAACTCAGTATTAAATAAATTGATACACATCATTGAATGTATTATGTAGTCATTGACGTGACAACTGGGTCTAATAAGATAAGACATGATTCTTGGGAACTTTTTCTTGATGGTTCTTTTCTCAAGAAATGTATTTGAATTGATTACAACTAAAAATACGTAATATACATGATTATTTATAATGGCCCTGGGGTTTTTTTCAGAATGGCCCTGTTTTTTCATAATGGCCCTGTTTTTTCATAATGGCCCTGTTTTTCACAATGGCCCTGCTTATTCATAATGGCCCGGTATTAATGCCCTATTAGTCTGTAATGGATCAGTTTTGCTTTTAAAACAAAAGGATTATTACCTTACCGTTTTCATGTTGCATTACTCTGTTCAGTTCATCGAAATGACCGTGTCATATGAAAAAGTTAAAATTAAACAACTAATGGATAATTTGGTTCAATTTGAGAGGTAATTTATTTTGAAAAAAAATGGTCAGTCTAACGTCGGATAGACAGACAACGGATATCAAATGATTATTATTGCTCACATAGGAATAAACTATTAGTATTAAGCTCTAAAACTTGAGCAATATTGTACAATGTCCTTAATTATAAGATAACTGGACATATTCTAACTGAAAAGCTTGTTACTGAAAAGTTATACAGATTTTTTTTCTTAATATCATATATGTAATAACCAAAAGCTATATTACTGCATATATATTTTTAACTTCACTCCTGTGAACATATATCATATACTAGATTGTTCCTAATGTTGGCAGGCACGTCTGGTTCAACATATATCATTTGGGGAAGACAGCAGTGTCCAAATCACACAGACACAGAACAAGTTTATTCTGGTAAATATTTTTATTGTGCATGTATGTATGATAATACTGTTTTTGATATTTATTTTCACTGCATACAAAAATGTCCGTTTTATTATTGATTAATACTTGGTCGACATTCTATACTGATGCATGGCTCAGTGGAAAACAATTTATCAAGTGTCACCATATCGTGTTTTTCATTGCATATGATCTTGGTTAAGTTGAAATTAGATAACAACGTCAAATGGTTGCTTGAAGCGCTTTTTTGCTAAAATATTATCTACACTTGCTTTCATTTCGTATACATTAAAAAACAGAATTTAATTCTTATATTTTCATATCTTCAATAAAACATATGTATGATATTAACATTTTCAATCTGCCATAAGACAAACACTTAATTCCAAACTTGATAAACAAATATGCAGTATTATTCACCGTAAAATTAACTGTACGCTGAATACATAATTTCCTTTTTTATTTCAAATTAATAAACGTTTTGATTTTTATAAACACAAGTCCAAAAAAAATTATTATTAATTAGTTGGGTAGGGCTTATGTTTCTTATGCAATTACTCGGTTGTTTTTACATGAATTTAAGACATATGACGTAAAAA